CCTGAGCCTTGGGGGACGCCAAGGACGCTCCTGGTGGGATACTTCCACACTGCACTTTGCCGTGTGGCTCCTCCTCTAACCCCCTCGCACCCCCTGTGTATTTGCCCTGCCCTAAAATCGGCCCCTCGGTCAGGAAGCAGGCCCTTGACAAAAGAGATATCCCTGTATCACTCACCAGCCTGGGCTTTGTTGGTCATCAGCAGAGGCCTAAGCTACTCTGGTGGTTAACTGCATCTTTAATCTCTCTCTTGTGAAATTCTTGCCTAGCCAGGTTCTTTCCATGTTGTCCTTCTGCAGTTTCATTTTTTAAAGCAAATTTCAGGACTAAGACTTTCCCCCTCTGAAACATTTTCTTACTTCACTGAGAACTTTTCCAGTCTGGATGTCACCAGCCCATTGAAACTGGTTGTGGTAAGCATACCTTGCAGGTCTTCAACACAAGCACTGATTCAAGTGCTGTTGCACAGGGATCCTGCAATGCTGATGCTTGGCTGCCTGAGCCAAGCTAAGCATGGCTATAGCCTGTGAGAACAAAGGTCCCATCAGCTCCTTGTTCTCACTGTCTTGCCTTCTGATGTCCTTCACTGACCTGCCCTGAGAGATTTGTCTTGGCAAGGTGTAACAGCCTCCCCAGAAAGAAAGAGTTGTGTGCTGGCTTAGATGAGCCTCAGATCCTCTCTCAGCCTAAAGCCCCATCCCCAAACCTTCATATTGTCCTCACTAAACCCAGCTTCTGGGCAAGTGCTGTAGTTTGAGTCAGGAGTATTCCCCCAAAGCTTAGTCCCTAGGGCCTAGCACTATTGAGAGTTGATGGAATTTTTAAGAGGTAAGGCATGGGGAGATGTTTTCCCATCATTGGGGGATTCCAGACCCTTCTTTCTTTCCTGCTTCCCCACCATGAGGTAGACATCTTTGCTGTGCTACATGCTGCTGCCATGATGTGCCACCCCAGGCCCAAAGCCATGGAGCCAACTAGTTGTGGGTGAATGCCTTTAAGTCTGTGGGCCAAAGTCAGACTTTTCCCTGTCCTAGTTGGTTGTCTTTCAGGTATCTGCAACTGTGGCAGGAAGCTTGGACTGCACAGAGAGCTCAATAAAATGATGTGGGATGTTGTAGGCCACCCTCTGGAAACTGTAATGTGGATATCACTCTTATTTTACCAGTGAAAGAAATAGGGGTGAGAGAGAGTGAGAACGATCCAGGATGCAAATCCATATTCTTTTAAGTTTCCCACACATGCTTGTTTTAAATCTAGATTTGGATTTTCTTATATAACCCTAAAGGCAGCTAAAGGGCTTGTTGGGAACCTATCACTTTCTCTTGACTTTTGATAAACCCAGTTTAACAAGCACCATTTTTGTAGCTGCTGTTGTTATGCAAAGGATCATTTCTATCATTTTGTTATGAAAAATGTCAAAGTCATTTAAAAGTGGAGATAACTGTACAGTGACTACTGTTAGACCTCCCTAAGACCTTTCTATATTTGTTTGCTCTCATCTCTTTTCCATCTATCTACCCTTTTGCCTCCCAACACAGATTTGTTTTCAAACATCAGTACATACCACTCATAAGTCATTTAGTATGCATATTATTGGAACTTACTTCTTACAGTTGTTTTTCAGGTAATAATGTACATACATTGAGATACATACATCTTAAGGAACACATTTAACAGTCCTTACCCTCAACAAGTTTGAGTTTGATTTCAGACTAAGCATTAGAGGAAGAATAAAACTGAAACAAAAATAGTTTTGTAGGATTCACAGTTGTCAGGATTGTGTGTAGTGTATGTATCTACAAATGTGCACATACAGATTTTGAATGGTTTATGGCCTCCAGTTCAAGGGAAGGGCTGTGCTGCACACAAAGGAGGGCTGGAGAAGGGAGAGTCTGGGTGGAGTGAGAAGGCTCTCCACTAACCCACAGCAGTAGACATGATACTGACAGTGCCAAAAGAAAAGAATGAACAAAACAAAACTTTAAAAATATGTTCAGTTCTCCCCTGCTTAATAAGATCCCTGGGAACTTCTGCTTCCCACCAAAATATAGTTTCAGGGATTGGGTTTACCATCCATCCTCCCTGAAACAACCAATCAGAAAAATGTGACTGTCAAGTCCTGGAAATCAAGTAACAAGGTGTGCTAATCCCAGAGAGACATAAAACCAGGGCATGCAGCCTGGGAGTCCCACCCCTTCCTGCCCTGGAAATGTCAGTGCCGTGTGCAGGCAGGGGAGTGACAGAGGCCCGTAGACTTCTGGTTGAGGAGCAGAGCTGCAGTCTGGGGAGACCAGAACAGCTGAAGTGTGCAGAGCAGATGCCAAAAGAGCTCCACTGGCCTGCAAGGGCCCACTGGAGGGTTTAGCAGATCAGTGGCCAGCCCATGCAGGGTGGGCTTCAATAGAATCACTTGGGAGGACTGGAAAGGAAGCACCCAGAGCTCTCACAATAAGGCCAGGAATATTACCTGTTTCCATCAGCCAGACCAGAAAACCTCATACCTCATACTTCTTGGGCCTGGGTAGAAATCTTGGGAGGGTCTTACTGAAGGCAACAATTTACATGGCCTCTATGCTGTCCTCCAACTCTTCAAAACATCACTCTAAAGGATCAAGCTATTTCCAAATAACTAAAAGTCAAGGATATTTGTAGGAATACAAAGTTAGCTGGCATGCAACAATGTCTAGCATTCAATCAGAAATTATCAGGCAAGGCTGAGGTTGTGGCTCAAGTGGTGGAGCACCTGCCTGGCAAGCATGAGGCCCAAAGTTCAAACCCCAGCACTGCAAAAGAAAGAAAAATTGTCCAAGCCAATGGGTAGGACAACATGAAACACTTGAGGCTCAAGATGAATCAGAACCCCTAAAGTGAACACAACTGTTAGAACTGGCAAGTGAGGATATTAAAACTGTTAATACAACTATAAAGTATACAAGGAACAGGTATGTTCTCTGACTGCAGCAGGATTGAATTAGAAATTAATAACAAAATGTCCTCATGAAAATCCCCAAGTATTGAAATAACATAGTTCTAAGTAACCCTGAGTAAAAGAAAAAAAAGTCAAAGGGGAATTAGGAAGTATTTTTCAATAGATGTACTTAAACACACATAAAATGTGTGCAGTATCACTAAAGCAATACCTAGCAGAGGATTCCATAGTATCATGTTATCCTGTTAGAAAAAGAAAGGTCTACATGAGTCTGCTGCACTTCTACCTTAACATACTAGAAAAAAAAAAAAGCAAAAAGTAAGCAGAAAAAATAGTCAAGGTCAGAGCAGAAATCAGTGAAAGAAAAGAAAAATAATAAAAGAAAATCAACTAAACCATAACTTGTTCTTTAACAAGACCAGCAAAATTGATAAGTTTATAGCCAGACTTAGTAGAAAAAATGAAAGAAGACAGTTTGGTAAAACCAGGAAGGAGACAGATAACATCACACTGATTCTATAGATATTAAAATAATATTATCAGCCAGGCACAGTGACTCATGCCTGGAATCCCAGCTACTTGGAAAGCAGAGATCTGGAGGACGGCAGTTCGAGGTCAGCCCAGGCACAAAGTTCAGGAGACCCCATCTCCATCAGTAGAAGCTGAGCGAGGTGGCTATGTGCCTATCATCCCAGCAAAGCAGGAAGCAAAAATAGTGTGGAGTGCAGATGTGAGGGAGGGATCTGAGCAGGGGCTGTGGAGGAGCATGGAGGAGCAAAGAAGGCCTCAGTGGGCAGCATCACCCCTCCATGAGCGGGGATGGATGGAGATGAAGGAGCAAGACAGCATTCAGAGGGCTGGCACAGCCCACTGCTTGCAGAAGAGGAGACGCTTCATAAGTGGTAGCTGTTATCAGGGCTGCCGCCTTCCCCTGCTCTCTCCCAAGCTTTATCTACAAGGCTGCCCCAGGAAGGGGACCCGCTGAATGTGGGGGTGCCTGAATTCTATGGACGCTGATGGAGTGGGGAGGTAGGACTGCTGGTCCTCATGAAGACAGAAGGCATTTGAGCAGTCAGAGGTCCTCTGCACTCTTCTCAGGAGTCCTGAGGGAGTTACTACTTAGAGGCATTTGATTAGAGGCAAGTTACCCTCTCTAAATTTCAGTTTCCTCATCTTTGTAGTAGAGGCAACACCCATAACAATGGCAGTCATATGTCACTACCAGCTTGAGCTGATGTTTGAATCAGCTAAGGCTATGCAGTGCTGGCAATGGTATCCACACATGGCAGGCACACAGGACTACTCTAGTTCTGTCAGTGGTGTGGTAGTGTCATTCGTGGTGAGAGAAACGTGTTCATGGCCTTGAAGGTTCACTTTGGGTAACCCACTGAAGAAAAGTGAATCATGGTACTCAAATCACAGTCTAATTCAGTCTAGAATGTTCTGAAATCAGTGACACACCAGTGAGAAAGCCAGCATTCCTCTCACACCGGAGACACTAGAGTGTTTCCTTCAAAAACCTTGGATTTAGATTTCTGCAGCTGGGCTCCACGGGAGGATGCTTGAACTAACAGTGACCCTTTGACCTTTCTCCTCTAGTGGAGTCACACGCAACAAACTCTTGCTCTGCACTTGGGATTTCTGCATGCTGCAGGTGGGGTGGTGGGGTGAGCGCACTACGATACCTGCCTCAATGAGTCGTCCTTCCAGCAGTGAGAGGCAACACTGTTGGACACCATGACAGGCTGGGGTAATGGGAGGGAGGGAGGCACAGGTAGCTCTGGGACAGTGGGAGCGTCTGCAGTGCTTCCTTTGCAGTCGGAGCGGGGGTGGGGCACAAGTTCTTCATGTGTAGCCCACACCCAGCCAGCCAGAAAGCTTTAAAGTGTACTTTTCTTTTGGAAAGACTACTCCTGGGGTCTGTAAGTCGGATGGCTATCAGACTAGAAGATCTCAGCGTGTTCTGAGAGCACCTACAAAAATGTCCATGTATATCGTGCCTCTTTGGCACCTGACCATCTACAGCCTCAGCTGTCTGCCCAGCTTGAATAACTGTACCCATGTTCACTGCAGGTGCCCTTGCTCGTGTGAATCGTGCACTACAGTCACATGCCTGCAGAAACCCTCCTGTAGGATGCCAGAATCATCACCCAAGGGACCCATGAGGCCGGTAACATCAAGATGTGGTGTCACTTTCTTGTGTCCAGGCCAAAGCGCACCCAGTGGATTTTTGGTGTTCCTGCATCGTGGTTGGAAAGGGGAGGCTGTGTTGCTATGCGGCTTGTGTGCCAAGGAAACGTGTTTTCCTCTGAACACTTAGTGTTGCCAATAAACTATTCTTGTTGGCAGGTTAATGGGAACATAAACGCTGGAGCCCAACAAGGGCACTAATTATGTTTATGGGACAGTGAGAAGAATCATGCCTTAGATTGATTTTGAACCTTTGAGACTTTGACTACACAGGGATGGTTAAAATCATTTACTTGTTTAAAATTGTTTGAACACTAAGGGGGAAAAGCATAAATCAACAGAAGCAGTTGGAAAACTACTTGCCTCGCACAATGCTATGTGTTTTGGGGGTAAGAAGAGAGTTGAAAGATGTTTGCAAAGATGACCTTTGCTGGGTAATAAAAGTTTTAGATTCTTCTATTCCTTTTTTCTGCCACTTTTTCTATTAGAATATATCAATTTTACAAAATCAGTTAGATACTTATTCCTCAGATATTTGAGGCCAATACCTCACAGAAGGTCTCAGGCCATGATCTGACCATCCAAGCTTTGAAAAATCAACAAGTGCCACCCAGCATAATAGCCCTACTTGATTGTGTAAACACGATCTTCCCAAGGTGGCAGAGATCCCCAGGGGGGCTGTGAAGTACAGCAGGCCACCCTGAGGGAACCTGTGTACGGAGCCCAGGGACTTCACTGGGAACCTTCTGAAATCCTGCAGAAGACAAAGTTGAGGGATGCTGGGTGCCCTCATGTCACAGACAGTGGGTCCAAGATACACTTTATACTTCATGGCTTGGATTTGATCTTGCATTTCCCCTCACAGTGCCCTGTATTCTATGACAGTCATCTTGTAGCACATGGTGCTCAGTCACCAATATTTTTAAGAAAGTGTAGCCACAGCAATAGGTTTACATAGGTATCTCTAAAAGTCTTCATGATATGGAGAAAACCCAAGAAAATCAAGAGTGAAAAATATGATGAAATCCTTTTAATGTTTCACAATTGTTTCAGGTCTGGGCATTAGGTAGCATGGTAACTTTACATTGTCTGATTAACATTGCTAAACTTTCCCAGTGAGGCAAGAGCTACCGGCCAATTGCTCTTAATCACAGCTGTCTCCTGTTTCTTTTAGTGCCACAAATAAATGAAGATCAAATCATGTAAGTGTTGTGTGGATTTCATTCTCCTATGCAGAATGGGAAGGCGGGATTCATTTATTCAATCAACAATTGTTTTGGCTGCTGTGCTAGCCAACTTTCTATCACTGAGACAACATACCTGAGGTAAGCAGCACAGGAAGAAAGATTCATTCTCGCTCATGGTTTCAGAGGATTCAGTCTGTGGTCACTTGACTTTGTTGCTTTGGGCCTGTGGTCGGTAGCACAGTGCATTCCAGCAGGAGTATGTGGTAGAGAATGCCATTCACCTCATGACATTCAGGAAGCAGAGAGTGGAAGGGGCCTGAGTCCCCTTGTCACCTTAAGGGCACAGATCAGTGGCCTAACTTACTCCCACTGGGCCCCACCTCCTAAAGGTTCTATCACCTCAGGTTGGAAATCAAGTCTTCAACAGGAACCTCCTTAAAGAACCTTCTAGATCCAAACTACAGCAACTGCCTACTCTATCCCTCTGGTCACTGGGCTTCACCAGATTACAAAACACAAAAATCCTCCCTCATTGAGGTTAGGTGACAGCATAGGAGACTAGTCATAAATACAGCAGCTAAGCAAAATGTTCAGTATAGTAGGGTGCTGATTAGTGCTAAGGAGAAAAACACCAAAGAGTCATACAGGGTCATGTGGATGGCCTCAAGGAGAAGGCAACATTTGATAAAACCCTAAAGGCAATGGGAAAGGAAACCATGGTGGGTACATAAGTACAGAGTCAGAAAAGGTGCAAAGGCCCTGAGAAAGGATTTTGCCTTGAGTGTTAGCCGAACAAGAAGGAGGTTACTGTAGAAGATGGGAACAGAAGCAAAAATGCAGTTTTCCTGGCCTCTGCCCCCCAACTGTAACTCTCCATGCACTGCTTGGAGCCCCGACTTCTCAGTGAAGCCTTGCTCTCCAGCTGGGTCATGAGAGTGGCAGACAGAAGAGACCCAGAGGTAGGTCTTGGGAAGGAGAGGGCTCCCTCACCTCTGGTTTAATTTGCTCACATGTGGAGGGGTCAACTTTATGCCAAATTTTTTCCTTGTGGAAATTGTGTTATGTCTGCACCTCAAACCGTGCAGAACCCTTGTTTTTGAGGTGTGAAATGTGGGATAATTGAACCCTACTGGTCCACACTTCAGATCATCTTAGTAACACCAAGCGGTGTTGAAGCACCACCTTCCAAATGAGTAAACCAGAGACTAAGAAGATTGAGCAAGTCTGTCATGTGGTTCTCATTCTTACAACAACCCTTGATAGCTCCCTATTGCCATGTTAAATCTGAACTCCATCCTCAACCTATAAGACTTAATAGCGTAGCTCTCCCCCAACCCTGCCCCAGCCCCAGCCCCAGCCTAGGCTGCTCCACCTTAGTCTTCTGTCAGTATGTGTCCCCCGTCCTTATTTCCTCTGTCAGGAGCGCCTGGCACCGCCCATCAGCCTCCCCTTTAGACCAGAAAACCCAACCCCATCCTAGATGCTGCCTCCCTTCCCCCATGTGTCCCCACCTGCTCTCCCCTCCTTGCTGTTTGCCTTGACCCTCATCTTGGCCTCTATTAACTCACCTCACAAACCTCGTTCCCCACCTCTGACTCTTCTAGCTGCAGATGCCTCCCCACGGCCAGGAAGCAGGAAAAGGCCAGGTTCATACCTGTTATCCCAGTGTAACTGTGAGTCACATTATCTCTGTGCCTCCAAGTTCCCAGTGAAGATAATAAAATCCATGGTGTCTTTTATCATCTGGTTCAATAAAGAGGCAGTGAAATGAGCCTCCTGGGAGGCAAAGAGAAGCCAAGCAGACTTGGAGCCCGGCTCCTTGATGTCTGATATGTCAGTCCCATTTTTCTCTCTGCCTCTGCCTTGGAGTTATTCAATTAAACCTAGAAGGAGCCCACACAGTTCCTTCCTGTGCTGGTGACCAGAGCCAATGCCATCCAGACACTTCCCTGAAGGACCTGGCTGCTAAAACCTGCCCATCACCTTCCAGGGACTCTTTCATGCCTCAGGTTTAGATGGGGAGGTCATTTGCACGCTGCCAGTGCTTTCATGTTGCCTCTTCAATGCTGGTACTCCTAATGTCCCACCCTGGCATCTCTTTGTAACCTCAAACAGTGCCAATACAGTCCAACTCTTTGTTCCCAAGAGCCTCTTGCCTCAGCCTCTCTGAAATCTTATCTACCTCTTATCACCTCAAAATGATACAGCTTCCTGACAGTCTGGCCTCTTCCTTCCTCTGACCCCAGAGTTAACTGTAGGTGGCACTTTCAGGCCCCCAGGTTTCGGGTTGGACAGCTACCTCCGAAAGGCAACTGCAGAGGCCCATGCACTAGCCACCCCTAAATGTCTACATCACACTTCTCAATTAGTTTGGAACTTAAAAGGAATAAAACATCACATCCATCACAGGAACAACATAAAAAAGAAAGGAAAGATAGAAAAGGGGCAAAGAGAAAGACAAAGCCCAGCACCCAATCTGCAGCAAGCTCACTTCCCCCATGTTCACGGTCAATGGCTTCATTATCCTTTCTTGTCTCACACACATGAATGAAAAACGGGACCGGGTAAGCATGTGATGCCCCAGTCCATCCCTGGGCACATCCCACCTCAGTTGCATCCTGAAGAAAGTCCCATGACCTTTGCATGCACAGTGATGTCACCAAGTACACATGGGCCCAGATGACATTCTGGAATCTGATCCCATCAGTGATCCTTCCTCAGGATGCTGTCCTCTCCTGGACTCCACAGAGCTTCCTGGCTCTGAACCACACAGAAGTTTCCAGGGCTGGAGCACCTCCCACATTGTGGTTGTTGAGGACATGCTGGCTGGGTTCTGATGGCCGGCAGAGATAGATTTGCTCTCGGACACATGGGCCTGGAGGTTCTGACTCCTTCCAGCATTTGCCCCACAGTGCTTTAGTAAAGTGGAGATGCACTCACACTTTTTTCCTTGAGAACTCATTTTTATTTCCCATAATGCACCACCACCAGAAGGTAGGAGGAGAGAGGGCTGGGAAGGTCCAGGTGGAAGAGGGTGACGCTGGTGAACAGGTGTCCAGGATAAGCTAGGAAGGAATGAGAGAGAGTGGGAAGGAACTTCCCAGTGGCCAGACCCATCTGCAATGTGGTTCTGCCCAGGCGTGCAGCTGCCTCTGCCATCTTTAGGATTTCATTCTAAGATAGGTCCTCTCCAGGTGTGTGAAAGCATTTGGGCTCCTCAGTTGGATGCTGGTAAGACCTGCGTCCAAGTCCTAAGGCTGCTACATCCATTCCCTCCTTCTTCCTTCCCTTCTTTCCTCTTTTCTCCCTCATTCCGTCCTCCTTACCTTCTCCCTTCTCTCCTTCCTTTTTTCCTTCTCTCCCTCTTGCTTCCTTTCATCCTTCCTTCTCATCCTTCTTTCCTTCCCTCTCCTCCTTTCCTCCTTTGCTTCCTTCTGTTTTTCCTTCCAACTAACACTGAGAGAACTTCTTTGAGATAGTCTCTGTGATGGGTGCTGAGTAAACAAGTAGAATTCCTGCCTTCTCATAAGCTCACCAGGAGTGGAATCACATGGAATTTCTGTCCCAGCAAGTGTGACAAGCACCCCAGGAGAATAAAGACACAGGGGAGAGGCTAGGGATTCTTTCTGGAGGAAGGGCTGGGATAGAAGCTGCTGAGTTGAGCTGAGATCAAGGGTAAATAGAGCTTAGCAGTATGAAAAGGGCAAGGAGTGGCTAACCAAAGGGAGCAATGCTTGGAGATGTCCAGAAGTCAGGTGGGACACAGGCCAGGGAAAACTCAAAGTTTGCCTTGGGGGTGCCCCAGGGTAAAGGTTCTGCCACAGAGACCTTCCCAGGATGGATACTGCTGCCTCCCACTGCATGTGTTTTACTTGGAATGCAAATGTGTTCAAAGCAAAAGGATCAAGAAGCAATTAACTTGGTTGGCACCTGCTGGGGAGTGGTTTGGCCCTTTTCCCAATTGGGGCGCCTGTTAAGTAACTGCAGGTGGCAAGAGCTTGCCCAGAGCAGATGGAGCCCGCTCTTTTCAAATGGAAAAATCAAGTGTGTTATGGTTATGGACTCAAATCCTAGACCTCCGTGTAAATACAGAGATCTGGAAGGGTGTAAGGCAAGGTGGAAATGTAGAATTCTCAGTCCTGGGGGTGACCACACATTGTTCTGCCAGCCAGCCCCTGAGCCTGGCCCCACTGGGTCTGTCTGCCCAGCCTTCCCATGCAGACTCTCTGGGACTTCTCCCCTTGTATCTAGATGCCTCCATGTGCAGACTGGGGTAGAGCCAGCCACCAAGACAGACAAGGCAAAGGACTAGCCCAAGACACACAGAGAGTTGGTGACAAAACCCTGGCACTTTGAAAAGTGTGGCCTTTCAAAGCCACTTCTGCTCAGCTTCGTGGCCATCATTCCCCCACTGAGCTGTTTGTGTTTCCCCAAATGAGCCACGTAGGTTCACTCTTCCTTGCTTTGATCAGAATTCCATTCATCCTCCAAAACCCAGCCACCTCCATGGGAAACCTCTCCATTGCCACCCACTTCCCTGTGGGATGTGGTGCCTCTTGTAACTTCAGTTACTTCACCTTAGAATCCATTTGCCTTTGTGACAGGGAACTCTGAAGGCTAGGTCTTACTCATGTGGAAGCCTGAGGCCTGGAAACATAGGACTGAAGTCATGGGCATTGACTGAATGGAACTTAGTCTACCAGGACAAGACTGCCCGCAAAGTGAG